GACCGCCCGATCCGACGAGGGTCTGTCTCGAGAAACCCAAGCTTGTTTCTTATCGCGCTGCGAAGTAACCTTTCGAACGAAAGAAAATGCACAGGGCGCCTCTGTCGGCCGGGCGCTCAATCTCGGCAAAAAACGGTCTTCACAAATCCGCCTTGGGCGAAAAAGGCGCGCGGTTGCGGGCCTGAACTGGCCCGCGCCTGTTCCTTCGACCACGTGGGAAGCCAATGCAAGCGAGTCGAAGCCATCCGAATTACCAGAAACTCGGGTAAGATGACGTTCGTCGCCTGCGCGCGCCGTTGTCGGGGCCTGGCGCGGCGAGAATTGCAGCGCGGCGACTTGGGCCTCAACTTCGCGCAGCTGCGTTTCCACGGCCGCCCTCGATGCAGCAATCGCACTCCTCGCTGATGTTGGACGGGATGGATCAGTCTCCAAAGCGGCCGCTCTGGTGGCGATGTCTTGGACCGCCTCCTTTAGTAGGTTCACGGCGTCCTCGTGGTCCTGCAGGGAGACACCGCGCGACTTGGCGGCCTTGATTTCCGCCTGGATTGGACGAAGATGCTGTTTGCAGAGATTTGCCATCGACCCCATCGCGATGTGACCACTCCTCGTCGGCTCAACTGTGGCCCCCGCCCTCCCCCGCCAGCGTGGAGACCTTCCCGCTGTCACCTTTATCTTCAAGCTCATTCATTGCATGAGGCGGGCTGTGGATCCTACAAGCCTCTTCAACAATAAACAGAAGACCTCGACTTCTGAATTCGATGGTTGTGGGGTCAGCGCTGCTCGGCGTTTTCCAAAAAACCGAGCCCACCCTCTCAGCATTGAAGAACGCGCTTTCTGACAAGTGCCCGAAAGCATCGGATTTCAACTTCCATGCCTGGATATGTTTGACGAGGCTTGGCCGTTGCAAATGCACGCACGGGTGGGCCCCGAACAGTGAGTCATTGCACCCGCGCCGTGCCATCTACGCTGTGCGATTAGTGCTTTGCTGCGGCCGCCGCGCCAAAAAGGCTGCGGCGCGCGCGAGCGCCCGCGCGGCGAAATCCAAGCGGCTCACCTGTCGGACGAGGGCCGACGTTTCAGGGGCGCTTCCCGCCGCCCCGCGGAAGACGGGGGCGAAGGCCGTGCTCGCTGCTCGCTGGGGGATGACCGCCCAATGAAAAGTCAGCCCCCAGCCACCTCGTGCGCCCGCGGCACTACGGACTGGCGGCGCCTCAGGAGCCAAGCGAGCCCCGCCTCGCTCAGGCGCCGCTGCGCAGCGCGGGCGCTCACCTTCCGCGCCGCCTTGATCATTTTCCGCGCGCGCTGGGCCGTCGCCGCTGCGCGCCCGGGGCGCTTGCGCGCGAGGCGCAGGATATGGCGGTCCAGGGCCGTCTCTGCGCTGCGCGGTCGACCCGCCTGGCAGAGTCTCCCCTCGTCGAAGGCGAGGCCGCCGTTCTTCTCCATGCGGCGGATTGTCTGTTGACTCGGACGCGGCGTTGTCAACAACCGAGCCCACCCTCTCAGCATTGAAGAATGCGCTTTCTGACAAGTGCCCGAAAGCATCGTGTCCTAGGATTTCAACGTCCATGTGTGGATATTATCGGCGGGGCTTGTATGAACCTTGAGCAAGTGCCTGAGAAAAAAAGGGTAACTGGAATAAGCTTTTCAAAAACACCACAAGAAGTATACATCATCGGAAATGTAAGACGTAATATGGTTGTGTCGTTAATTGTATGAGCATGGGTGCAACGGGAGGCGAAGCACTTAGCCAACAGGACACAAGAAATAAAGAAATAGCCAAATAAACTAACGAGCGAACAAACAAATCCACAAACAAACAACGATGACGAACATGAACTTCCAGAGGTTCGCGCAAATCTCCTGGGTCGGCGCTGGACGCTCCACCCGTGGCGCGCGAAACGCGCAGGGGGGCCGTGCCGGAGGCGCCGATTGAGAGGAAGGGGTCCAGCGCCGACCGAAGCTTACGTTTACGTTTACGCCCTGTTGTTTCGGAGTCGTCCCGGCGCGGCCCGCCGGAACCACGACACGCCGGCAACCGCAAGCGCGGCAGACACAAATCAAGCACCTCCGGAGCTGAACTAGACAAGCGCGTTCCATCGCTCGCAGAATACCTACTCGCAAACGGCCTGGATCCACCGCGGGGGCTCGACCGTCCATCACGTCGAGGACGAGGTCTGTTATTGTTGTTTTTTCGGGGGGCGTTTGCGAGTAGGCACTCTGCGAGTGATGGAGCGCGCTCGGAGCTGAGCCCGGGAGGTCTGCCGGGGAGGGCAAAGGGGGGGATAGCAAAGAGGGGGTTTTAGAATCAGCTCACGTAGCTGATTTTCCTGGCGACTCCCGGCGCCGGAGGCGGCTATGTATCGATGAATGGGCCCCTCGGTGGGGCCGAAACCAGCTGCATGCAGCAGATCTCGTAATCCTCCCTCTCCCCATCCCCCCCTCTCGTCCGGCCCGAGTCTGGGGAGGTGCGGCGGTGACTCGCCGGGAGGCGCCCTCGATCAGCAGCATCGGGGCGTACCAGGCCATGGTCTCGAGGCGCCAGCTCCAGGCGCTGGCGGCGGCAGGCAGAGGGAGCGGAGGAGGGGGTGTCGGGGGGCTCACTGGCTCACTGGCCCGTCGAGAGCGCGGCGGCCCCGCCAACCGAAAACTGGCCCGCGGGCTACGACAATCCACGGACGACGACGCCGACGACGACGAAAACGATGACGCCCGAGGCGTGGCTGATGTCGGCCATCTGGGAGGCCCAAATCCCCAAACATGCGACATCCTGATCTTCTCAAGGCGCGATGCCCAAGACCGGGTTTTCACTCGGAGCCGCTTCTCGACGGCCCCGAGTCCCGGAGAAGGGCCCTCGGAAGCCGAAAACAACGGAAGGCGAAAGAACCCCTGAATAGGGGTACTTGCCGACCTCCTCCTCCTCCTCCTCCTCCTCCTCCTCCTCCTCCTCCTCCTCCTACTCGACGAAAACGACGACGAAAACGACGACGCCCGAGGCGAGGAGAAGACTTAATCATCGGATGAGACGGAGGAGGAGGAGGAGGAGGAGGAGGAGGGCGGGGAGAAGAGAGGAGGGAAGACGGCGAGGGAGGAGGGGCGAGGGAGCAGGGGAAAGAGGCGGAGCCAGGAGGCAGAGGAAGAGGCGACAAAAAGAGGAGGGGGAGGGGGCCCTCTGGCCCTTCCCCCTCCTCCTCTTCCTCCTCCTCCTCCAAACCCTGGTGGCGTCGCTCCGGGTAACATAGCCGCACTGGAGCGCCATCAGGATGAGGACCAGGCTGAAGCCGACGTTGACCCCGACCTGCGAGTGATGGAGAGGGGCGGGAGCACAGGCGAGGACGAGGAGGGGGGGGAGGAGGAGGAGGAGGAGGAGAGGAGGAGGAGGAGGAGGAGGAGGAGGAGGAGGAGGAGGAGGAGGAGGAGGAGGAGGAGGAGGAGGAGGAGGAGGAGGAGGAGGAGGAGGAGGAGGAGGAGGAGGAGGAGGGGAGGAGGAGGAGGAGGAGGAGGAGGAGGAGGAGGAGGGGGAGGAGGAGGGAGGAGGAGGAGGAGGAGGAGGAGGAGGAGGAGGAGGAGGAGGAGGAGGAGGAGAAGGAGGAGGAGGGGGAGGAGGAGAGGAGGAGGAGGAGGAGGAGGAGGGAGGGGCAACCCCAGCAGGGGGAAGGAGCGGGCGGAGGGCCAGAGGGGGAGAGAGGAAACGAGGGAGGGGGCGAGAATCGGGGGGAACGACGAAGGAGGCGGGGAGGGCGGAGGAGGGCGGAATGGCAGTAAGGGGCGGGGGGGGGAGGGGAGGGAAGGAGGGCCGGAAGGAGACGAGCGAGGCGGGGGGGCAGGGGGGGCAGACGGAGGCAGGGAGAGGGGGGGGGGGCAGGGAGGGGGGGGGCCAAGCTAGGTGCGTTCGCGTCATATCTGACATCCTACCCCTCCCTCCCATCCCTTACCATGGCGCAGATCCCCTCTCTACTCGCTCAGTCGGATGTCGAGCAGGGCAATGATCCCGAAAGGGTACGCGATGCATCGTAGAGCACGGCGTGGCATGGCCTAGAAGAGCACCGCGAAGCGTAGTTCCAACCTAACATTGCATTGCATGCCGTGGCATGGCACGGGAAATGACGCCAGCGCTGCAGCGGGAGCACGAGTCGAAACGAGCGGAAGCGCGGAAATGAGGCCAACGCTGCAGCAGGAGCACGATTCGAAACGAGCGGAAGCACGGAAATGAGGCCAGCGCTTCAGCGGGAGCACGATTCGGAACGAGCGGGGCCCGAAAATGAGGCCGGCGCCTTAGCGAGAGCAGCATTTTGAAAACAAATGCAGGCGAAAACCCAACTCAAGGGAAACCCGTGTGTAAAAAACAGTACGCAGGGGGGGGGTCGGCCACTTTTTAACCGTCATCAGGGGGAGAGGGAGAGTAGTATTCATATTGAGTAATTATGGAGGAGGGGAACGAGGAAGAGAGGAGGCAGGGAGAATCGGGAACGAGCAGGAGGAGGAGCTGGAGGAAGGGCAACGAGGACGGCGAGGGAGACGAGGACGACCACACTTACAGAGGGAAGAGGACGAGTGGCCACGAAGATGGCAAGGGGGAGAGGGAAGCAGTAGAGGAGTAGGAGGAGGAGGAGGAGCACCAGCAGCAGCAGCAGCAACAACATGTCAAGAGTTGGAGCTCCTCGTGGCCAGCTGGGAAAATCTCACTGCAAGGGGCACACCATCCTCTCAAACCCAACGTTCCGCTGCTCCGTTCCTCTCCCTTTCACTCTCTCTCTCTCTCTCTCTCCCTCTCTCTCTCTCTCTTTTTATATATATATATATACATAGACTAGAACCACGTGCGCGTTTCACGCGCGCGTGTAGGCTCTAGCAAGTTCTGGTTTTACTTTGAATATAGTATCACACGGATCGAGCCCATCAGGAAGCTCCACCGACGGCCCCGGATACAGGCTTGGCCCAGCGCCCCCCCACCCATGCTGGCCAACCCCTCACAGGATTCGCGCCCCACAGAGATCTTCACCTGCGTCCCCAGAGACAAGGTTCGCATAGTGGTACGTTCCTCACGCGGATCGTGCCCAGCAAGCAGCTGCATTTGCGGCACCAAAGGGAAGCTTCATAGCGTCGCCCAGCTTCCAGCCAATCCGTATGAGAAGAATGCGCGGTAAGGATGCAAGGGCCTTGGAAGGCCATGTCGACGCTTTGGGGGCGTGGCGCGGACAGCGAAAGCGGCCAGGGAGGGCCGAAGGGAAAGGATGCGAGGGCACGCTTGGGAAGGTTGCCCATCCTTCCTACGCGGGTTGACTGTACTCCGGCCCAGCTCTCACACGGACCGCGGCCCGCAGGGAGTTCCACGGACGGTCCCAACGACAAGGTTCGCACGCCGCCCTCCCACCTACTTCGGCACACCTCTCGCACGGATCGTGGCCCACGGGGATCACCTATGGCCCCAGAGGCAGGGTTCGCAATGCGGCCCTCGCCCATTGAGGCACACCCATTACGCGGATCGTGCACACAAGGAACACTACCTAAAGACCCAGAGACAAAAACCGCGCAACGCCCCAAGCCCATATCGGCACCCGTCACGCGAATCATGCCCAAAAAGGAGTTCCACCTATGGTACCGATGGGCAACTTCGCATGGAATCCATCCGCCCATTTCGGAACATGCCTCGCACGGGACATGCTCGGAGGAGGTCCACCTGCGGCCTCAATGGGCGGGTTCGCGCGGGGCATCCGAATTACTCGGCACACCCTCGACGCGGATCGTGCCCCACAAAGAGTTCAGCGTACCCGTGCACGCGTGCCCCGCAGCAGCCCGCTTTCCGCATGGCCCCGCGGCGCGCAGAGTACGTAGAGAGACCCGCGCCCTGCCCTGCACATGACGGCACAGGGATGGGTCCGTCGCCAAGCCAATTGCTTGCCTGTTCGTGGCCTTCGGCCCATACTGCTACGGTGCCTAAGTTTGGGGCCAGAGGATTCTTGGATACCTGAGAATCGAGGACTCTTGGCATGCTCCTCGGGCGCCTCGAGGAGCGACGTTTACAGCGTCGTGGCGTCCTCTGGGGGCCTCTTGCGGGCCTCTTGGGGGCCTGCTGGCGGCCCCGGGGGGCCACTGGGAGCGGATGGCTCGAAATGTCGGTCGGAGTTCCTCCTCTTGGATCTCAATTGGAGATCTCTTGGCCCGTCTTGGGCGCCTCAAAGATCGCCTTGGGGCTCTCTCGGGCCGTCCTGGGGCCCTCTCGTGGGCCTCTTGGGCCGTCTTGAGGCAATATTGGGGCCTCTCGGGCCGTTTCGGACGCTGCTAAGGCTCAAAAATGCGAGCATGCTGCAAATGTACGTCTTCCATCGGGAATGAAATCATTTTGGCCTCCTGGGGCCCTCTCAGGGCGCATCCTGGAGCCTTGTTAGGCCGTCTTCTGGGTTTCTCGAGTCGCCTTGAAACAATACTTGGGCGTCTGCGGCCCTGTCAGACCGCTCTGGTCGCCTTCCGATGGCCTCCGGAACTGTTCTGAACGGCGGGGGGGAGGCCCAGGAGGCCCCCAAAGGGGTCGAGAATATCGTGAGCCAAAACTGGCCAACGCTCGGACGTCCATTCCCTGTGTTTTTTTCGGTTTCGTGCGTGGCTTTTTCGCCAAATGATCAAGGATGCTCCTCGATGGTCCTCGCCGAAGGAAAAATCCACACGTCCGAGCGATGCCAGGAAAAGGCGGGGGGAGGGGGGGGAATCCGAGAGGGTGTCCCAGCCAGGGCCCCGCCTCCCCAGTGCACACACACACACATACATACATACATATACGCATGCACACATACATACATACATACATGCATGCATGCATGCATACATACATACATACATGCATACATGCATACATGCATCCATCCATCCATCCGTCCATCCGTCCATCTATACATACATACATACATACAACACATCGCTATATGTCTGCCGACCCATATATCTACCTACCTGCCTACCGACCTACATTCATACATACGTACATATATAAAAACAAACATGCATACATACATATATCCATACATGCGCACATCCATACATACATACACACATACGTACGTCCATAACCACATATATACATGCATGCATACATGCATGTGTGCATCCATACATGCAGCCATGCGTACAACCATACATGCATACATACATACATACATACATACATACATAGATGCATACACATACGCATACGCATACGCATACACATACACATACACATGCATGCATGCATACATACAGACGTACGCACGTATGTACATCCAGTCACACATATACACACATGTACATATGCATACATGTTTATGAAACATGTGCCTAGGTATGTATACCCACATATACACATGTATAACAATATATAAGTGTATTGATGTGTGCATGTATGTTCGTGGCGTCCCGCCAGAAAAGCAAATACTCGCCTCGCGCCCGCTCTGTTCTGACCCGCGGCGGGAGGGCCTCCCGCGGCGGCCTCGGAGCCCGCCGCTGGTCGGTGGTTCAAAGACGGGGTCCCGAGGGATAGGGTCCTGAGGGCGGGGTGCCTCAACCAACGTCAGTCCGCCTTTGGACACCTTTCTACCCTCAGGACCCCATCCTCAGGACCCCATCTTTGAACCACCGAGCTGGGGCGGACAAGGGGCGGCATGCACGGGGGGGCGGGGCCTGGGACGCTCTGATCGGATGACAGGGGGAGGTCCGGCGACCGCATGTGAGCGACGGAAGAGAGAGGCTCACGCGGGATGGCGCAGCTACCTTTCGCGGCGGCTTACGCGGGCCGCCGGCGCGGCACGCCACATTGAAAGCGAGGACGCATGCGCGCGGCCTTTCGCGGGCAACTTACGCGCGACTGTCCGCGCAGACGACCCCGTTCTCTTCTGTCGCTCACGTGAACCGTGCCCCTGAAAGCCCGATTTCTGCAGAACTGGCTGGGGCTGAAGATTCGAAGGATGTCTGCAACCAAGTGAACCCTCGCGGGGGTGTCCGATGCTCCCGCGTCGAGTGAACCCGCAGGGGTAGTGTTCGCAGGGGGTCGCAGAGGGGGGGGAGTCATGGACGGGGGGGGTGCGAATCAGCTCACGCAGCCCGGACAGTAGGAGCCCTTCCACAGGTCACCCAACCCTGAGACCCCAGGACGTCCCTTGATTCTTGGCGTGGGAACGTCACGCTCTCCATAGCATAACCACCGAAGCCCAAGAAACCCAGGGCACCATGGGGGTCAGCAGGGTTTCTTGGCATGGGTCTCCACTGTATCCCCCAAGGGTCTTGCGCACTCCCCTCCTCCTCCTCCTCCTCCTCCTCCTCCTCCTC